ATGGATTCCTCTAGTGTCTTACATTCCTACACATATAAGTATTATTACTGTTAAAGGGAAGTGTACCTCTGGGTTTTTTTGTTTGGCTTGATTTTTTGTTGGTTGTTTTTGGTGGGTTTTTTTGTTTGTTGTTGGTTTTTTTTTGCAGGTGGCTGTTCTTATAATGAGCTCTTGAGGCTTCTTTGAAGTGGTACGCACCACCATCCTTTCTTCTTCAATCACAGCACAGAAAATAATCTGATCTCTTTCCCTCTCACATGTTGTATCCTCTGAACACATCGCCTCCTGCCTCACAAAAAAACTCATAGATTAGCTCAAACAAATGCTTTGTCATAGTAGTAGGTTATAAACATTTTGAAGAGTCAAAACTGATCAGAATTATTTTCTCATTGATATTTAATCTAGTTGCATGTGGACTGTGAACCACCAGAACCACATTCTTATTTCCTGCCCCCCTTTCCCTTCCTCCCCGGTGGAATGGGGGAGAGAACCAGAAGAGTAAAAGTGGGAAAACCCATGGACTGAGATAAAGACAGTTTAACAGATAAAGCAAAAGCTGTGCACAAACAAAGCAAAATAAGAAATTGATTCAGTGCTTCCCATGGGTAGGCCACTGTCCAGTCATCCTCAGGAAAGCAGGGCTTCATCACATGTAACAGTTATTTGGAACAAATGCTGTCACTCTGAACATCCTCCCCTTCCTTCTTTCCCGAGCTGTACATGCTGAGCATGATGCCATATATTATGGAATATCCCTTGGGTCAGTTGGGGTCATCTGTCCTGGCTGTGCCCCCTCCCAGCTCCTTGTGCACCCTCTGCCTACACGCTGGTGGGGTGAGGAGCAGAAGAGACTTTAACTCTGTGGAGGCACTGCTGAGCAGTAACAATAACATCCCTGTGATAGCAGCACAGTTTCCATCACAAATTCAAAACATAGCCCTATGCTAGCTTCTATGAAGGAAATTACCTCAGTGGAAACTACCATAGTTGCAAACGGCATAAGACTGTACAAAAATATTTCAGGTGAGTCACCAGGTAAAGACTTCAGGGATGCTTGCCCATGCCAAGCCATGAGAACACTTGTTTTTGAAGCTCTTTGAAGAAATAGATGAGTGTATTATCAGATTAGCAAGTGTAAAATGGTCTGTGCAAGTCAGTTGCATGTCCACTGACTGCCTTTATGATGCTTGACAGAATACAAGTAATTTCTGACATGAGAGCCTGTCTCATCTGCTGCCCATCTTGGTTTTCCCATTTCTCTCTAGAGTTTTGGGCTCTGCCGTTCTTAGCTAGTGAGCTTGTCTGTCCTCAGGGAGTGTACGCTTCTTCTCTGCTGGGACTTTCCTCTGACAGAGATCTCAATGAATATTTGGTTGAATTATTTGTGGAGAAATTATTTGCAGGCCAGGAAGTTAAACCAAGAATTACTCTGGATTGCTTATGATAGATTTTGAATGAAGGCACTCTCAATCAGTTGTTACGATAAGAAAAACTGAGAAGGGAGGGCTTGCTTCAAGAGTGACCTGGATATACAGGATTTCCTGCCCACTCCAAACGTTTGTCAGTAATATATGTGATGTAAACAAGGAAAAAATAAAATTGGTGCCAAAGTTTGACAGAAGGAGTCATGTTAATAGAGTAAGGCATCTGTTGTAAACCATGAGAAGAATTACAAGTTACAAAGAGAAAAAGGAACATTTTTGGTTTAAAACTGGATGTTATATTTCAAAGAAAAGTGTGATACTGAGTATCTTAGCTTTTTAGGGTTCTTAAAAAAGAGAAGGGAGGGGGGTTGGTGGTAGCACAAACTGTATTATCCTACTGCACTTCCAGGAATATTTAGAGGCTTAGCAATGATAGCAAGGCACAGTTGTTTCCATATTAGCATTACTGCTTATCATAGTCACGTCCCTGAGATTTGTACTTGTTGCTTATAAAGAAGCTGCATATGTGAAAAAAAAAGTGTCATCTTCCATTTCTCACTGGCAGACACTTTAATTTTACTAAACCTGTTTTGTTCATAAAAAATTTCTTGCTTTCAGGTGTTATACAAAAATGATGTAATTATTTCTTGCATAGTATTTGTTTGTAGTGAGTCATTTAGGAAAAGAAAAATTAATCGCCAAAATAGAGCCGTGAAGGTAAAGTAACAACTTAAATCTGCACATGGTCTAAGCACTGTGATAAGTTTTAGAGAAACCTTAGTGCAAGATTGCTCGAAAAAGCTTGATGAGGTTTTTAGAGAAAGCAAGCCATTGCAATTTTGTCTTCATAAATGCATTTGTAGATTAAAAAGAGCTTAGACGTTAAGCCTCACTAACAATTTACTTGGGAACAGCAACACAGTGTGTGTGGCTTTGCATCAGTCTGAGGTGGATTATCTGCAACCCTCCTCTCCTACATTGCATTACCAGGAGTAATCCCATTAGATGATTACCTCTATGTGTCCTCAACAGACGGATTTAGTCATAATTGAAAAGGTACTTCAGGTGGGTTTAATTAACCCTGTGGTAATTTTATTAACAGAGCCTCTTGTACCCCATAGCTTTGCATTAAGTGAAGTGAGTTTATGGCCCCTTAGGACATTCTAATCTACAGTTGTGAACATAACTGCCTGTTATTTAGTCAAAGCTACAAGAATCAAGGGTTGACCATTTTTGTACTTGTGAATCTTAAATGCAGCTGTGCTAAATGTCACTGTAATATCTGATTGCTGATCTGTGGCCAAGTCATTTGAGGAAAGTGGTCTGTAAGCTGGTGAGCAGCAGCTCACTTTTCCTAGAGTTGTTTTATTTAGCTAAATGGAAGAGAAATGTATTACTTAGGTGTGTTGAGCCTTTGCCTCCAGCGTGCATAATGGCCTGGATCTCAGTAGTCATTACCATCCCAGGAATGGGAAATCTTTATGCTTAGAGCAAAATTGGGCCAGGCTTTTCCTCAGTAGCAGGCAGGCAGGATAGCAAGGGAAGATATCCATATGAATGTAACTGTGTTCTTGAAACCTGTTGTTCAGGCCTTTCCTTCAGGGAACCATGTCTTGTTATATGCAAGCTGCACAGACTCAGTGACTCTGGCAAGAGAGGTGTATTGTGATCTCCAGCCTCTACAGTACAATTTAAACAATATTAGTGTCTAATCTATACTGAACAGTGAAGTCTGGTGCACTAGCAGGACTGTAGCACTATATTTACAGGTGCTGTTGGCCAGGCTGAGGAGGTCTAAGTGTTCCTACAGTTTGGTGTTTGCCCTAACATTTGTGTGTTCAGATCTGGTAACACAGAGAAGCCTGTGGTGTTAGAGCCTGGGGAACCCTTACAGTTTCCAGAGGTGGAAAAGGCTGATAATTTTGGGAACCTCTTAGCTGACTTTAACAACTAACTCTTAAAGTAAGTTGTTATTTCACTACTAGCTAAAAAAAATGCAGGACTGCATTTCTGGCTAAAAGGTAAGGATCTGAATGGAAAATACAGTTTCACAGAAGGATTATGCAGTGAAAACTTTCAGTTGATAAAGCTTCACTGCATACACAAAATGGTCAGAAAGAACATGTGGAAAACATTAGACTGGCCTGTTTCTTCTAAAACGAGGCAGCTTTGCAAGAGAAGCGTAGAAGTAACCTGCAGCAGCAGTGTATAAATACAACCCTCCTACCTAGGAAAGGAAGGGAACACTAAAATGTTGTGTTGGGACAAAACTGTAAAGTGCAGTCTTTAGACATACACCAAGCTAATGTACACAAAATGCTGAGCTGCAAGTTGAGCACTGTATTGTTCAAGTTTTGCCCATTAACTTGATCACTGAAGCATGGAGAAAGCTTCCACTGAAAAAAGTGCTGGTTTGTAACATTCTGCCACCTGTGTATTACCTAAGTCATGCCTCATTTAATGTTGTTGCTGAAGGGTTGCTAAATGTATGATATAAAAACCGTGAGTCTTTACTTGATGGAGAGCATCTTTTCTCTCCCAAGAGTTGCAGTTTCAGCCCAGAAAGGCAAAATGGCAGGCATTTACAAGCCGAAGGAATGGACAGCGGGGCAGGGAGGTTTCAGGAAAGTAATCCAGAGTTTAAATTTTAAGATGAAAACCCATGAGGTATATTCTGCTTGAAGTTAAAATCCATGTCGCATCTGGCACTTGTCAGTCACGTTATAGTTTGTTCCCAAGGACATTATGCATGCCCCTGCTTAGTTTTGCAGAGAAGGGGAATAAGAATGTGGCAGCCAGCTGAAAAATGTAAAACATTTTGTCATCCCTCAGCACCCTGCTCTGGCAAAACATGGCAAAGCACAAGTAGGACACCCCTACCGTGGTGCTGCTGTCAACAAGCACTGCTTTGTAAGCCGTTACGTGAGAGACTGGCAAAATACGGAAAAACAAGAGCAGATTTAATTCCTTGTACACTTCATCTCAGTGATCATCGTAGAATAGAATAGTTAGGGTTGGAAAAGACCTGAAGATCATGTAGTTCCAACCCCCCTGCCATGGGCAGGTATGCCTCACACTAGACGGTTGCTCAAGGCTGAGTCCAGCTGGCCTTTAACATTCCCAGGGGTGGAACATTCAGAGCTAGTCACTGCAACAAAGCACAACAAAATGTTGCTGCTTCTTTTCAGACTGGCTGCTTCTCTACTTGGGGATAGGTGTACCGTACCGCCAGCTCCAAGTACACCTGGACCAGTGCCCATCCCAGCAAGTTTCAGTTCCCTTCTGGTTACACCCTTGTGTTTCCTTTATCCATTCTGTGGGCACAGCTTGCAAACCAGACCAGGGAAGCCCACCCAGGTTTTCCACACATGGGTGGAAATTATTCCAGGGGAAGACTCTGGTGGGATGCTTTCTTCTCCTTCAGCTCCTTGTGTTGACTCTGATCTTGGATCATTTCCTCTTGCCTGCTATGTGGTAGTTATGCCAGTCATTTTCCTTGAGTGGGTAAGGTCAGAGGCCCTGAGTACATGACCTGGTGCCAGAGGCAGAAAAAGTCTGTTTCAGTATGGTGAAGGTAAGTGCTGTGCATATGCTTGGGTGAGTGGAAGTAGGGCTGTGGGAGATGCCAGGTTTGACTAGGAATATGCCATGACATCTTTGAAAAGAGCTAATATTCCTTCACTCTTATACCCTTGGGAATGTTCACTTTTCACGTAAATAATTTTGTTGCCAAATTTTTGTATTTCTTCTGGGGTGATGCCATTCAGCTGACTGACATATGTAAGGATTTCTATTCTTGGGAAGTCTTCCAGCATCAGAAAGCCACCCTGATAGACTAGAGCTGCTTCTGAACAAGCCCTGGTTAAGACTCTGCTTTGGTTGATGAGCTCCTGGTGCATTGCACTGAATTCAGGTTCCTGATGCTGTTCTGCAGTGATTTCTAATTTGTTTGTTACAAGCCTTCATATGCTTCTATTGTACCAGCATGTTAACTGACTGCTGAACTGACAACATAAGCTTTAATCCACACTGATTCTTTAGCCTCGTACTTAGTGATGGAAGGGCTAAAGAAACAGATGGACCTGGTAGAAAGACTCACTGAAGCCCAATAACTTAGCTATCCGTTTTGTAAACAATGTGTTTCTTGGAAGTGAGATTAAGTGGATCAGCTGGTGTGCTCTCTGCCTGGTAGAAAGAAGCTTATTTAAGAGGGAGAGAGAATCTGTGCCTCAGTCTAGAAAGAAGATGGGTTCTACAGAAGACCTTGACTATCCTCAAGACATCTTGCAGTACAGCAGTGGATTTTTAGTCTCAAAGGTAAGAAATATAACTTAGTCTTGGATAGATGCCTAACAGTATGCAGACAGAAATATTCAAGGTTCTCACTTTAGGTGCTGAATGTAAATCTTTGGAATGAAAACTGGCTCATATGAAAGCATCCTCTCTGTTCCTCTTAGTAGGAAGGAAATTTGGAAAGGAAAAAGATTTGAAAGTGACCTGACCCCTCAGGGTAGACTTAACATTTATTGAGACCTCTCTGACCTCTGGGGCTTGGATGAGCAGACCTGCTCTGCATGAGGCTTTAAAAAAAACACAGGGTTTTATAGCTGAGGGCTTGCTGTCTGATTGCCTCAGATGTAGAAGGTTCCTTCGGTGGTGGGATTTTTTTCCCACTTTTCATTTCTGGAGTTTGAGAGCAGAGAGCTGGCATGAACTGCCTTTTTCTTTCTTTATTAACCATGCAAAGAACAAAATTTTTCAAATACCTTCTCAAAGAATTTCCTTCCTTCTCCCATGGTTTTCTGTATGGAGGCATCATATTATGCAAGCATCTGATCTTGAGAGCTTCTGTGTTTTGCCTCTTTTCACATGAAAGATAGACTAGTATAATGACTGTTTTTCCAAACAGCATTTAATTAAGGCACAAAGGTAGTACTAGTAGTTCCACTTCCCTTATTGTTTACTGACATTTGCCTTTCTGTGGGTGAGCATATGGACATATAATTATAATATCCACTGCAGTGGAGATTTTTTCCTCATGACTATTTAGTTACATTTCCTATTGTCCCTTGCTACACCTCTTGCTAGCATGGTAAGGTAAAGAATACTCTTTAGGTTGTGCAAATACTGCTGCATCCTATGGCTCCTGAAAGACAGAGCTGACAGTAAAGAGAGGAAAAACGAATCATGAAAAAAACCTCTTGTGCTCTTGGGGCAAAAAGCAAGAAAGTCTTGAGAGTATGTGCTCTGAAACTAAGGAAGAGCCAGGAACATTCATACCCAAAACAGGTCTCTCAATGTGAATCTTTGAGAGCCAAAACCATTGGCTGGCTTTTCCAGAAAAGGAAAAGAAATGGAAAAAAAAGGTGCACTTGATGGTATTATCAGTGTTCAGAGAAACTTCAGTTTAACCATTTGTCTTGTTTATATGAAATATGATTTTTACCTGAAAAAATATTATGTGTATATTTTCTCCAACAAAGCTTTAGAAATGCAGTAGGCTTTTGTGCTTTCACCTGACACCTCACTCCCACCTTTCTTTTCCCTCAGGTTATGTTTACTGCCTGTGAATTGGGGGTGTTTGATCTTTTGCTGGAGTCAGGGGAGCCTCTGTCCATGGATGCCATTGCTTCACGCTTGGGTACCAGCACCACAGGGATGGAAAGACTGCTGGATGCCTGTGTGGGGTTGAAGCTCTTAGCAGTAGAGCTGACACACGGAGGAGGTAATAAAAGCAGAAGGGGAAGAAACTATAAGAGTTAAATCTCTGATGGTTTGGCAAGTGAGGCAAGGTTGGGGGGAGGTGATATCTAAGTACAGTTGGTGGAAGGAGAAGAGGGTCACTTAGCAATGTCATCCCCTCTTCAACTGAAAGAGAAGAAGCAAAAAAGCATTATTAAATAAAGGTATAAAGTAGAACCCAGGTGAAGGGCTCTATATCCCTAAATGTCTTTGTGGAAGAGCCTCAGGGACCTTGGAGAAGATATTCAGGGTCTCTGCAGAGGTGGTCTCAAGAAAACTCTGAGGTATGGGCATGATTTTGAACCTTAAAACAAAATGCCAGGGTAGATGGACAATGGCATGACTTAAAAACATGTTTTATTTATCTTTGTGGTTTTACCACCTTGTGAAGTATTTAGTTAGGTTGCTGATCTAAAATGAGAGGTGATGTAAGTTTGTCTTTGCAGCAGAAATGTTGAGTCCATGGGGTCAGGAGGGATTTCAGACCATCAGACCGCTGGTCAGGACTGGCCAGAGTCTTGCAAGTTGTATCCCCTGCTCTGACTTTTGTTGTCTGGCCCTGTTTTAGGGCTTACAGCAGTTGCTCAACGAGTTTAAGGAGAGCAGGATCTATGTTTTACATTCCTTTTGTGTGACAGTCCCGTGGGTGAGTGATGCCACTGCAGGTGTGTTGGAGGAAGCAGAGGAGATTTCTGCGAGTCCTTAGGCATTCAGTCTCTCTGTAGAAGGTCCTGACCTAGTGAACTGAGAAGGGACTAGGCGTAGTTAGCATGCTATTTTGGGGACTTGCCTCCTGCTTGCTGACCTTGTTGACTGGCAAAGATGCTTGTCTGCAAGGGCTTCTTGTTTAAATAGGCTTCTGCCTTTGGTGTGCTCTATCAGTAAATAACGATACTCATAAAGAATTCCTCTTGCTGTTCTTGAAAGAAATGTTTGGTGCTAGAGTAAGTATAGGTAGGTAGTGCTTACTCAGATTTAATGGGGAAACATACATTTCAGCAGTCCTCAGCCACTGCTCATTGTAGTGGAAAGATTGATTGTAGAAGCAATGTAGTTGTGTCTTTGGTCATGTGGACATCTTTTGGTGAGAAGTACCATGCTGTGCAGTAGGTTTGGCAAGGTGGTATATATATGTTAGTAAACATATTTATTTCACCTGTTAGCCCTCTACAGAAACACAGACATTTCCAACATCTACCTTACAAAATCAAGTCCCAAGTCTCAGTATCATATTATGATGTATTACTCCAATACAGTCTACTTGTGCTGGCACTACCTGGCTGATGCTGTGAGGTAAGGAGGAATGTTGTCCACTCTCTGTTGCAGACTGCTTTGTGGCATCTATATAGCTGCTCTGAGTAGTGTGTTTCTGGGGAAGGGCACAATGAAGATGTTGATTGATTCCCAGAAATAAAAAACAGCAGATCATTTCAGCTTGTAATCCAGCCTATATGTATTCCGTTTTTTTTCTTGTTTTCCATTTGTGTGTGTTTTTGTTTACCTTTTCTTTCTGATAGCAAAGGTGACCCAAGAATCAGATTTTATGTGTTTGATCTCCAGGAAAGCATTTGAACATTATGGTGTCTCTTAATACATCGCATTAAACGATGGGTAATGATGGCTAAGGTTGCTTCTGCAAAGGTGTAAAGGAGTAGTTTAATATGGGGCTGGAGTCTCCTTGTTCAAGTCTGTGCAACAGATGATTAAATATGGTGTATATCATGGTGATGGTTGCACCAGTCTTGTACCTTTATCTGAGACATGTTCCCATAAATCACAGAATGGTTTGGTTTGGAAGGGACCTTAAAGATCATCCAGTTCCAACCCCCTGCCATGGGCAGGGACACCTTCCACTAGACCAAGTTGCTCAAAGCCTAATCCGGCCTGGCCTTGAAAAGAACCAGTCACTCATGTGAAAGGCTGAGAAATACATCAGCATATTTTTGGGTGGCAAATGAGGGTGCCTTTACAGCCATTACAAACAGAATAGCATATATTCTGTACAAAGTTAAGCACCTTTCACAGTGATGAACTAGCTGAAACTGCAGCCCCAAGGTGTATTTTGGATAAAAGAATAGAAATCCACACTCATATGCTTTTTTTGGTTGCTATTTTAGAGAAGGAAGAAACCAGTATGAAAGAGCTTTTCATTTTTCATCTAAAGACCCTTTCAGAGCAATGTACAGGTAATCAGGATATTTATAGAAATGTTATTACTATTATTATTATTGTAGATAAAATTAATGTTTTTAATTATGGCTCAGGACAATTAAATATGACTATGTGAAAATCCCACTCATCAGAACTTATCACACAGCATTTTCCTTTCTCAACAGTATCCATTACTGGGACATTGTCTAATATTTTAGGTAGAAGTATATCATTTTTTATTCTGAAAAACGTATCACAGGTCTCTTGCACAGAAAGAATGGTATTTAAAGGGGGGGAAATAAAATTCCTTGGAAACCTGAGAATTAGCATCATAATATACTGTTGGACTTCACTAGTCTTAATTCCATATTTAAATGAATGAATACATAGCTATACCCTTCTGCTAGGTAAGTTTATATGGCAAAAGAGTGTATTTTGTGTCAATAAAAACAGATTAGCGTTTAACTAAAACTTCTAATAACATTTTTATGATAGGAATCTCCAAGGATATTGTAAATTACCTTTGCTGCGTCTGTTTGCATTACTAGATCAGACGAAGAAATGCTGAAATTCATGGCTGGCCAGAACTCAGTATGGAGCGTATGTGGCAGGGATGTACTTGTTGCATTTGATCTTTCCCCTTTCAAGCAGATCTATGACCTGGGAGGTGAGTGTCATTAAATCTTCTTTAAAACCCTCTGAACTGTCTTCTGATAGTGGCCTCTCCTGTCCCTCCTCTTCCCTTTGGGCAACACGTGGTGAGCAAATGTATTTTGCCAGCTTCTATGAGGCTGAATGCACTGAATGTGCTATTGTCTGCATCACTTCATGGAGAAGTTGCTGAGCAAGTTGGTTTTGTGTCAGCACTGACCTTCTTTTGTTTTCTTCCCAAAGGAGGTGGAGGAGCTTTGGCCCGGGAGTATGTTTCTTTGTACCCAAATTCCACGGTCACAATCTATGACCTGCCAAAAGTCATACAAGTGGCCAAAGAGCAATTTGTTCCACCTGAGGAGCACCGTATCACTTTCCAAGAAGGTAGGTGCAGACAGTGGTGTAGAGTTGTCATGGCTGTTGCTCCTGAGCCAGTTGTCTCTGCTCAGAGGTACCACACTGGAGGGTCAGGTCTCCAGTTGCCCCTTATGTGAGCAGAGTGTCCCATATTGCAGCCTCCCCAGCTCAGATATGCACTTCATTGCTACCACAGGGCAGTCCCAGTTGTGCATCTGCAGCTACCTTCTATCAGAGACAACTCTGTTATTCAGCAACCCAGAAATGTTTTACTCCTGAACAGCACTATTTCATTTCTTCAGAATGAGGGTATTTTAACACAAAAATAAGAATAGAAAAAGTCCTGCAGTTCTGAAAAACTACCATACCATGTTACAAATCTTCCTATCACTCCCTTTTCTCCTGCACAGACTTCCTGGCAGATGTGTGGGATGCCAGGCCTGCTCTGAGCAAAGGGTTTTCCTTCTCTGGGAATGATTAATTACTTTAAAGTCCTAAGAGATGTCAGGCTTTGAATGTAAGTGAGCTAGTCTGCATTTTTCTTGCCCAGTTCATAGTCTTTGTCTTAGCAATGGTCTTTGCACCATCTATGATGAACATGAGTGTAGGGAGATCTAACTTTAAATGTTTACAGAAGTCTTCATAGTGTTGCAATGACAATATTGCTTGAAGCTCAGAGAGCGCAAAGAAGCCTTGAGGAAGGGAGAGAGCATATAGAAGCAAAGATGGAGAATCACAGGAAATGTTATGTGTGATGGTGGTACAAAGAAATGGGAGAAGAAATGACTAAGGTGCAGAGAGAAAAAACTGTAATACACAAGGTGCTGAAGAAAAGGTGTGATGATGCAGGTAGTGCTAGGAGGTGAGAGGTGTATTTTTTCCTTAATGATTTATGATTTTTTCTGTTGTTACTGAAGGTCTTTGAAAATCTGCTTAGAAAAGGGAAATTTTTTCCTTTTTTCCATGATAGAAACTGAGAGAAACTGTCTGCTCTTCTTAATGCTTTATGAATCTGAATTGCTGTCACTGGATAGAGCTTAGTCTCAAATGCTTTCCTATGCATCAAAGGTTGAAGAAGAGCTGCTGCTTTTAAACATTTTAGACCTTCTTGAGACTGAAGGAATAAATATGCAATGCCACAGATGTGAGTGATGGACATGGCAAGTCCAGAGTCTCCAGAAATGGACAGAACTGAAAATATTTGTTTAACTCAGCACTCTGTGGTTTAGGGGTTTTGTGTAATACATGTATTCTTGCTTTACAGGAGACTTCTTTAACAGTCCAATTCCAGAAGCTGAACTGTATATTTTATCCAAGATATTGCATGATTGGGATGATGACAAATGCAGGCAGCTGCTGGCAAGGGTCTACAAAGCTTGCAAGCCTGGTAGGCATGAGTTCTTGAAAAGCAGAGAGACTCCAGACTATCAGTAACAAGAAGCAAGCCAGTCTCTATGCTCAATTTGGGTTTCAGTGTAGGGATTTCCTTAGTTTAGCCTTCTGCTTTCCTAAACCAGCCATGTGCAGCTGAGCCAAATAGGGTTTGGGCTTCTAGTTTTAGTCTCCTTCTTTACAGGGACTTCTCTTTCAAGGTATTTAGGCGTAAGGATTGGGGATTTGGGTATTGTTTAAATAGGTGTAGATGACAGTAAAAATCCCATTAAGCATCACATTGCACACTCAGAGCTTTGAAAACAGTGCCTACACAGCCAGGTTACCAGTAAAATCAGTAAGCTTCTGCGGATTTCAGCTGTGGGAATGGGAAATTTACATCTCAGCCATAATACCCCCTTCAGACTTGGTGCCTGAGTACTTAATTATCTGAGCAGAGGCATGCTCCAGTGCTTTTGCTCTTTCATTGTCTTCTGTGATGCTGAAATAAGACTGAATATAGAAGCTGCTTCTTCCTGAAACTAAAGGTTAGAATCTGACCTAGTAACTCAGCTGAAAAATACCTCATCTTCTCAGAGCTCAGTGTGTGTTTTATTTCTCTTTATTCAACTAGGCGGTGGAGTGCTGCTGGTTGAATCACTGCTGAATGAGGATAAAAGTGGGCCTTTAGAAACTCAACTGTATTCCATGAATATGTTGGTCCAGACAGAAGGAAAAGAGCGAACAGCAGCAGAGTACAGCAAGCTCCTCAAAGCAGCTGGCTTTGGAGAGATTCAAGTCAAGAGGACGGGAAAACTTTATGATGCTGTTTTAGGAAGGAAATAATAACACCTCTTTCATACATTTACAACATAGAGTATGCCAAGAAATGTGATATTCTCAGAGGGGAGTCATCAACTCAGCTTTTATTTAAAGCAGCCAACTTTCTTGTATTTCTTCCTGATGCATTGTCAGGAGAATCAGTAATGACAGATATTGAGCGTGCATGGATTACGAGTCTTGCAGCCTGACTAGGGCTTGCCTTTGGGTCTGAAAGGGGGAGAAAGAAGTCAACACCTGTTCCACAAAAAATAACCCAGAAAGAAAATGTGCAGTCTGTTGGCTTTAGATCTTTTCATTGTTTCCAATTTCAACAGTGTATCTAACAAAAGCAATGCTGAATTTGTAATCAAATAAAACCGATCCCTGTACTGAGCTCTGTTACCTGAATTTTTATTCCTGGGGAATTGATATAGTATAAACAGAGCAAGTGACACCTCCGTATGGTTAGTCTTTTCAGGAGAAATCCTGTCTGAGCCTTGGGCAGTTTGGTGTGAAAAGTGATTTATTTCCTCTTGATTTTGATGTAAGTTATGTGAAATAATTTTGTAGCTTGACTGGCTGATGCCCAGTGATGCTCTTTACAGGGCAGGCCCTGAGATGACACCTAAGAGGGAGAATGATGCAGCCAAATCATTGTTATACAGGAGGGAAGGCCTTATTTCATGCCTCCTGCTATTTCTTTAAATCATTTGATCAAGCACAAGCTGCCATAATCCACCCAGTTTTCTGGGAAGTGGAATTACAGGTTACTGGAGTGAGAAACATTTGCAGAAAGGCACCAGAATGACTCTTTGCAGCTGTAGCTTGAATACAAATTGCATTTGTCTGTTAAGCTGGATGCTAGAAGGGCCTGAGACAGCCTTCTCAGTACCCATCTGCTAGAGAGTATCCTGCTCCTTTGATTGTAGGATGAGCATAGGGAGAAAGCAGCCTCAGTAGGGGAAAGCTGTTTTCTTTTTGTTATATTTTGCGATATCAAAATAAAATTGCAAGGCTGCAGTGGCCTTTCTCATCCTTAAAAGCAACGGAGCACAGTTCATGAGCCACTGTTGCAGATAGCGGGTTTATGTTCAAGTAGGATCTCACCCTGTAGGTATTGACAGGATATTGCAGGAGTTGGGGCAAGTGTTTTTGGAGAGCTTCCTCCTAAGCTGCAGTCACTGTGCAAGTTACGTGGCACGAAGGTGACTTTGCCAGGAGCTGCAGCCTGTGAGTAATGTGTTCTGAATGCTTGCTCGCTTTCCAGACAAAGCGAGGTGTTTCATCCTGCAGCAGCCAGGCCTCAACACAAATAATGGAACAAGGCTGACCCAGTCTTTATCTGGAAGGCCCAAAGCAAATGGCTTAATAGAATAACTAGTTTAAAAAGACAGAATAATAAAAGGAATATAGGTAGCAAATAAATTTTACATCCATTCAGATGCTAGGCACCCATGTTTGTGCAGCACTGGATGAAGCCCAGCTGGATTTTTCTCCTCAAATGTGAGGTTTGTGGGTGTCTTCCATCTGCATACCATTGCAGTAAAGCAATTTTGATGATGTACAAGTCATAATGCCCCAATTAATCAATATTGGTAAAAAGTGGTTACCAAAACTCTAACTGTGCATCTGTCCATCCGTCTGCTAATGGACCATTATTTTTAGAGTGCAAACTATTCAACAGCTGTAGATGAGAGGTGAATGCCTGAGTTATTTTGCTAATGAAACATCAGTTATCAGGAAATCACGTCCTGAGTGCTGCTGAACTATACCCCTCCAATTTTGTCAAAGGCCCTTGAAGTACAAGAACAAGGTAATACCAGAGGACCCAGGGGTGTAAGCAGAAATCACAGGTCATCCGTTACAGATAAATGCAACTGAAAAAGGTGGGTAGAAACAATTTTACAGCAGAATTTGAAAACATGTAGACTTGTATAGCAGACTAGCAGAGCTGCCCATGTTTGATCACATTGCAGAGATGTCTGTAAGGAGAATATATAGCAGCAATGAACCCAGACTACTCAGTACTTGCGCTTGTTCAGAACTTGTGCAGAATGGGTTCCTCCAGTGCTTATATTCTTTGACATATATTGTTTATTATTGTTAAAAGGATGTGTACCTCTATTTTTTGTACTTGATCTGTTATTGTGCTCCTTAGGCTTTTTTGAATTTGTATGCACCATTTTGTCCTTAGTAGCAGTTAAGAAAACCCATTTGACCTGGTACAGCCTCACATGCCTGTGAAAGTCCAGAGGAAACATGGGTTCTACAGAAGACTTTTGACTACTCTCAAGTCATCCTGCAATACAGCAGTGGATTTTTAGTCTCAAAGGTATAAAATATAACTCCATCGTGGATAGATGCAAAGACTAAGATGTTCAAGGGACTTGTTTAATGTATCTGAGAAGAAAACAGTTAATAATAGAGCATCCTAGTACTATGCTGAGTTTAAACTTGAAATACGCATGATGGAAGTCTAAAAGGAAAAAAAACCTCAATGCAGACATGGTCCTCAGGATGGACCTAACTGTTATTGAGACCCCTCTGACCTTTGTTACCTTGTATACGCAGGCCTTGTATCTGTGTGAATTTTTTAAAACACAGGCGTTTATAGCTGAGGAATTGCATTTGACAGCCTCAAATGTGGAAGGTTCCTTTGGTGATGGGATTTCGTCCTACTTTTCAGTTTTGGAGTCTGAGAAACAGAGGACGGATTTGAACTGCCTTTTCCCCTCCCTGTTAAACCATGCAAAGTACAAGATTTTTCAAAGAAAGATCTTCTTCCCTCCCCAGATTTACAACGCAGCAGACTGAGTTTGATAACATTTGTCTATTATATCCCTTCAGATGGAAGGGGCTGTGAATACAGAGTGTGTTATTATGACTCTCTTCCAGACAGCACATCATTAAGGCAGACAGGCAGTAGTTTCAATTTCCTTAATGTTTGCTGATGCTGTTTTCCTATGTGTATGTGCATTTGCATAAAATTCCTCTATTCAATTTCAGTTTTATTTTTCCTCATTTACAATCTATAGCACTTTCAAAATTAATATTCCTGTCATGTTTTTGAGGAGTAATCTCAACCATGTGTTTGCTGAAGATAAAGGAGTTTTGCCTCTCAAGGTTGTTACCACATCAGTTGCCAACAATAATAAATTAGGAAGAACTATTGATACTCTTGAGAGTGAAGATGCCTTACAGAGAGAACTTGATAGCCTAGAGCAATGAGCAATCACTAGCTATATTAAATTTAACAAGTACAAATGCCAGATTCTGCACCTGGGGTGGTGTAATCATGAATGTTCTTCTAGAGTGGGGTATAAGACACTTGTGAGCAGCCCTGCAGAAAGGGATCTGTTGGTTTTGTTTGATGGGAACCTCAACATGAGTGAACAATTTGCCCTCGTAGCCAAAATGCCAAGTGTATCAATGGGGTGTATTAAGCACGGTATACCTAACCTGAAAAGTGATTGTCCCACTTCTGGTAAGCATTTGTGCAGCTTCACCTCTGGTAATGTGTACAGTTTTGTGCTCCACAATATAAGAAGAATATAAAAATTAAAGTGTCCAAGTGAAACTAACAGTGAAATGCTGAAAAAACCTGCTGAAATTCATGGCTGGCCAAAATTCAATGGGGTAAGTGGTAGAAATGTTCTTGCTGCCTTGTACCTGCCCCCTTTCAGGCAGATCTGTGACCTGGGAGTTGAGCATCAGTAGATCTTTAACAAGGCTCTGAACTGTCTTCCTTTACAAGCTCTGAAAAGAAAAATCACTCCTAATTTATATGAGTGATGGAAAGCACTACATACCTCAGAATCTTGTCAGCAATAAGGGGAGTGTTTTACTGTCTTGGTGGGGTTAAAAAGGGAAAACTGAGAGTGGTGAGACCATTTGAAAGTGGTGAGACCATTAGGAAACTCAGTATTTTTCTCTACAGTCTCATTTGTGTGAGTGGTGGTTTATCCCCTTGTGGCCATACAAAGTTTGGTAATTTTCGCACCCTGGTTAATACAATCTTCTGGTGCCAGACTTTTTCCCTCCTCCCTTTCAATCAGTGCCATTAGGTTGAGAGATAATCTGCAGCCTGTCACACAGCTGTCCCAGTGCTGATGAGACTGCCAGGACCCACGGGAGCTGCCAGGCTGTTTTGTGGGCTCCCTCATTGCTTCCCAGCAGCTGGTTTAGTGGCTCTGTTTTTCATTTCCTATCTTTCTAACTGTGGAAAGAGGAAGACACTGGCCATCTGCTATTTCTTTAAATCAGTTGGTGAAGTACAGCCTAGATGCCTGGTGCAGGAAGCATTTGGAGGAGGTGGTGGGAAATGGGTATCTGTACAACTGGCTTGAATGCTAGTTGAGGCTGCAGCAACTGGTCTAGTTTCTTAGCAAACTATATGAGCATACAAGTAGTATAAGAAGTAGGGAATTTTTCCTTGTCAAGGCATGGTCTCCAAGTCCTGGAAGAAGAAATTACCTTAATTTTGTTGTGCCACACTTCTGAGCATATGACACTGAGATGTTAACGTTCATCAGGCTTTCCTTTAGAGAGCTGGGTGTTTTGATGTATTGTTTCAGTTCAAGCTGGAGCTTAATTTGAAGAAAGTTATCCTTTGCCAGTGCTTAGCTCTAATTTTTTAATAAAGCTTTGAACCCTTATCACTGCACAGGAAAAGCTGGAAAGATTAAGGCTCCAGGAGAAATAGACCCATCTCTCCTGAATTGCTGAAAAGTGCAAAGATAGTTGAATCACACTACCCAGATATAGGCTATATAGACTATTTCCCAAACCATCTCTCAAAGTGTTGGCCACCATTAAGCTCAGGGTCTTCAGACAGAATAGAACATGCAGATGCTCTTATTTCAGCCATCACTCAAGTCTGATTGAATAGTGCATTATCTGGTACTGTATTTAGAGTGTTATGCCCATATGCAGCTACAAATAAGGTATAGAGACCAGAAGATGCACCTTACAACATTGCTACAGTGCACATTTTGGGATGATCAAGAGACATCCAAGTCCTCCAGGAGGTAGTATGATAACAGCAGTCTGTTAATTTTGTGTGACTACAGAGACAAGTATTAGAATGTCTGTCTCTAACTGCACATATTCATCTAAATCTGCAAGATCTAGCTTAGAAACATCATGCTTGGTATTTCTGGACACAATGTAATGAGTATATTTAGAACAGGGTATGAAGTAAAGTATGCTCGGTTATGATGGGTTGACCTTCTCCAGCAAGACATGGAGACCTCACAGCAGCCTTCCAGTATCTGAAGGGGGCCTCTAAGGATGCTGGGGAGGGACTCTTCATTAGGGACTGTAGTGATAGGACAAGGGGTAATGGGTTAAAACTTAAACAGGGGAAGTTTAGATTGGATATAAGGAAGAAGTTC